GGCCTAATGGGGCCTAACGAGGCCTAATGGGGCCTAACGGGGCCTAATGGGGCCTAACGAGGCCTAATGGGGCCTAACGGGGCCTAATGGGGCCTAACGGGGCCTAATGAGGCCTAATGGGGCGTAACAGGGCCTGGGGCGTAATGGGGCCTAATGAGGCCTAATGGGGCCTAATGGGGCCTAACGGGGCCTAATGGGGCCTAATGGGGCCTAATGAGGCCTAATGGGGCCTAATGGGGCCTAATGAGGCCTAATGGGGCCTAATGGGGCCTAACAGGGCCTAATGAGGCCTAATGAGGCCTAATGGGGCCTACCAGGACCCCGAGGGACCCCCAAGTGACCCCCGTGTCCCCTCAGGCCTACGAGCGCTCGGAGTCGGAGGAGGTGGCCTTCATCACCCAGCTGGTGAAGCGGCTCCTCATCATCATCTCCCGCCCCGCGAGGCTGCTGGAGTGCCTGGTGAGCGCCGCTGCGCCCTCACCTGTGCCCTCACTTGTCACCTGTCCCCTCACCTGTCCCTCACCTGTCCCTCACCTGTCCCCACAGGAGTTTGACCCCGCGGGGCTCTCGCAGCTGCTGGTGGCGGCCGCGGGCCGGGCCGAGGGGCCCCTGAGGGCCGACACCCCCCGGTACCTGCTGAGACAGCTGGGCCGGGCACGGGGGGGACGCACAGGTAACGGGAGGGGGACAGGTGTGGGACAGGTGTGGGACAGGTGTGGGGGACAGGTGTGGGGGACAGGTGTGGGACAGGTGTGGGACAGGTGTGGGACACAGGTGTGGGACAGGTGTGGGACAGGTGTGGGACACAGGTGTGGGGGGACAGGTGTAGGACAGGTGTGGGACAGGTGTGGGACACAGGTGTGGGGGGACAGGTGTAGGACAGGTGTGGGACAGGTGTGGGACACAGGTGTGGGGGGACAGGTGTAGGACAGGTGTGGGACAGGTGTGGGACAGGTGTGGGACACAGGTGTGGGACAGGTGTGGGGGGACAGGTGTGGGACAGGTGTGGGACAGGTGTAGGACAGGTGTGGGACACAGGTGTGGGACAGGTGTGGGGGGGTCAGATATGGAGTGGGGGGTTTGGGCCATGGTGGGTACACAGGTGGAGATGGGGGGGCCACACCTGTGTCCTGTGCCCCACACACCTGTGCCTCCCCCACACACCTGTGCCCCACACTCACCTGTATCCCCCCAGACATGCTGCACCTGGAGGAGCCCGACAGCAGCGGCACCAACACTCCTGAGCCCGAGGATGGGGCTGAGGTGAGCGCTCATCCCTCATCCCCACACTGCCTCACCTGTGCCCTCATCATCTCACCTGTCCCCCATCACCTCACCTGTCTGTCCACCTCACCTGTCCCCATCACCTCACCTGCCCCTCCACCACGTG